AAATCAAGCAGAGCCTTACTAGTACAGAGGTTAGTAGATATACTTTTTATTTTATAAATACATTAAAATTAAAAAATGGTTTAAATATATATACTATTTTAGGCCAAATCTTGAGAGCAAAGATCTAATTGAAACAACAAGATTGTTATTGGGAAAGGGCACAGAATCGCAATTTAAGGCTTTGGCCGATTCTTACCTCGAATACAAAATTGTTCAACCTATTAATAATTTTCATGGACTTCGGGACTATTATTTTTTAGTCAAAAGCCTTAGCGGTGGAGAGGTATTTATAAAAATCTTTATATTTTAATATTTAAACCCTCACTTATAATGAATAATATATATGTTTGATTAATTATTTTATTTATAGTCTGCACAAATGGCTCTAGCAAGAAATTTTGGAGGAACTAATCGAATTGATGAACTTTATAGGGTTCACTTTGATAAAGTTATGACAGAATTTCATGTTTCTATTGACAATTTCAAAAGTTATTCTGTCGAAGATCTCATTAAAGCCAACATAAATGATAAAAATGCACGTCATTTAATGATCATTGGAAAAAGTAATTCAATCGTAAACGTTTTGGCATATAAATTAAAACAATGGAATAAAGAATTGGCAGATGCTAATTTGGACTTGGAACCTGTTGTTATTTATGGTAGTCAATTTCCTAACGATTTCGATGGTGATTATCAATATAGTGTATTGAGCCGTATTATGGTAAGTTCAATTTGTTATAGTTCCTATAGTGGCACAATATTTGCTAACAAAATGTTTATTACTCATAGATGTGTGTAGAGGAGGGAAGACCATTAATTTTGACAGATCTTGATACTATCTACGGTAATATTTTGCTTATTTTATTTTTTAATGTCATTCATAGTTTAACATGTCATTATATACTAATTCTTAAATAATTCAAAGGGAGTCTTTATGATTTATGGAACCAAAATTACATAACCGTAGGAAAAGAAGGAAATCAAACATTTTATACGCGCGTTGCGTTAGGAGCTTATTCAAATCCTATGGTTTGCGTTCATAAGAATTTTCGATGTATATTAGTTCTTGATGAAAAAAAAGTAGATTACTCGGATCCACCATTGTTAAATCGATTTGAAAAACAGAGAATGACTATTAGTGACATAATAGATGATGGCATGGAAAGCTTATTAAATAGACTTATAGAATGGTCAAAGCAGATATCAACACTCGTAAATGTAGAAGACGAAATTGCATCAAAATTTAATGAGAATGATATTTTTATTGGATTTGATAAAGAAGAAACATTGCAAAGTTTATTAATTTATAGTTGCAATAATTCGGAATTAGGAGATGAGGTGGCCATTTTGGACAAGTGCAAAGAATTGTTGATAGGTATAGCTTTACCAGATGGAATTGTACGTTCAAAAAAGTCAATGTTAAAGAATGAAGAAATAGATCATTGGCATAATTTCTACTTTCAACAAGATCATGAAGATTTCTCTGGTTATATTAGATCATTATTGAGAGATGTTAAAAGATCACAAGGCTTTAGCTCGATTATTTACACATTCTCAAATGTTAACACCGATGTTGAATCTTGCTTAAAAAATATTCTAAAATGTCAAGTTGATAAGCTCTCAACATTTAAGAGTGAGGCTCAGTTTCAATCCCGTGTCAAACATTTCTGGTTGGAATCTAAAGATGATATTTTAATTTTACAATGTGATTTGGATGCGGCAAATTCAGAGTGTGTTAAACTTGCAAAATTCATTATAGAACAATATAAAAATGAATTTATGGCAAGCAAATACTCTACCACACAGGTTAAACATGTTTGTATAATTCTTCATTTGAGGAAAGAAAATGTCACTTCTACAACATCATCATTTAATTTCATGTGTGGATGGGATCTATTTACTATTGAAACATTAATCCCTCAAGAATATCCTCTTCAAGCCTACCTAGATAAAGATTTAATAAATGTTCTAAAAACTGCTTATACATTTGAGAAAGTCGTTGATCGAGAGTTATTATGGTGTTTACTTTGCATAGAGTTTCCACCATCTCATGAGTCAACTGATTATATTAAGTAAGTTATTATTTTTGTATATCTTAAGATAATTAATAAGTTGGGTTACTTTAATTTAGTTTAAATTTGGAGTATTAACTTTTAATATGATGCTCTAAAGCAATCTGATTTGAGCACAATATTTCTAAAAATAATTTACCTTGCAATTTTATAGATCACTCGTTCAAAAAATTCCGCATCATATGGAATTTATGAATTGGTTGAAGACTAGAACATTTGAATATCTGCACAATAACCGCTTCAAAGATTGGCAATTAGAAGTTGCAGTAAACAAAAAAGATTTATATTTATATTCTTCATTCTCAACTGCTTTACAAGTATATATTCGTCACCAAGTTAGAAAGCCTATAGCACAACTCCTTTATGCATTAGAAAAGTTATCAGGACTTTTAATCCTTGACAGTGATAATTTATTTAATGAGGAAAACAAAAATGATGATGAGGATAATAGTGAGAATAATAATACTGCGTTCGCTTTCTGGGAGCCGATAATTATGAATAACAAGATAGTTAACATTGAAAATATAAGGATGCCTTATATAATAACAAACAATATTCGTAATTTGAAACTTCCATTTTCACGATACTTTATGGAACAGATTGATAAATTAAGAAGTATATATGAAGATAATTTAATGATGTTAGAAAGAGTTCCAGGCAATATCGATGAAGAAACCGGTAACCTCATGTCACATATCATTGATGATTGCATTGAAAGGTTTTCTGAACATGTTAAGTCCATAGTTCCTGTTTTAAATTTACCACGATCTAAATTTCCAAGCATATATTTTGATGATTTTGCGACTATTGTTTCACATGAAAAAACTGATAATAGCCAATTATTGCGCCGGATTATATCTTATAATATGAGACAAGAAGTACCGGATCCTATAAGACTTCATATATTTTGGTGGGATAATGAAGATTTAATCTTAAATGAATTGCAATTAGCCTTATTATTCCCAAATATTATAGAAGAAATACTTAATAAAAATTTTGATGAATTTGCCGAAAGTGAAGAACTGAACTTTGATAATTATTTATTTAAACGACAATCAGATATCATGATTAATCAATTTTGTGACATTATTGACAGTATTTGGAAGAAAGACGATAATAGCAATAAAGATGATGATTATTTGGATAGTAAATTAAGCACTAAAGATGACAATAATTTGGATAGTAAATTGGACAAAAACAACAAGGAACAAAATAAAGATAAACAACATTCTAATGCTTGTAATGAGAACAACTCAGATGATATACAAATCAAACTTCAACTTTGGCAACGCCGTGTTGCAAATATTTTGTCAATTGCTTGTAATTTATCAAATTCATTTGATAATCCATCATTAAATGTACTTCGAGTATATAACGACTTGTCTAAATCAATTCCCTTAACACAAATGCTTCAAATTAGGCAACATGGAACTGATCTGTTTTCAGAACAATCTATTAACATTATTTTTAGACTGTTTGACCAAGTAGAGATGACAGAAGTTAGTTTGTTTTCAAAAAGATCATTTATTTATAGATGCTTAAACATAATTCCGCTTGAATCACCTACCCGTTCTCATCTTTATGAAAAAATATTTTCTCAAGAACCTTTACCATTTACCTTCCATAACATTTACTTAATTTTTGAATCAGAAAATAGAGCACAAGAAGAGCCATTGTTCTTTAATCTTATTAATAATCCAGAAATACTAAAAAATACCAAGCGACTGCAAGTTATCGAAAACATCTTATCTAATCAAATGAACTCAGAAATGGCAGCATTATGTTGTGATGTTATTCAAACTCAGCTCACAGAATATCAATTTGATAAACTATGTAATTACTTTCTAAAAGCAATAGATATTTTAATTAGCAACTCAAAAGCATTACAGAAAATTTCTGCAATTTCCCTTTTGAAAGTATTTGCGAATGAATTTTGGAATCACACAGAATTTGTTGTAACCGATCCCATCAAACTAAATGATAGTATTAATATTAATGATCTAAACAAACGTTTGTCAATAGTTCATCCTTTGATTCACTCATTCACAATATATTTGATCAAGTCTTTATATTTGAAAGGATTAACAACCTACGAAATTAAACAGTTCTGTGAAGCGAAACAACAAATTTTACCATGGGTCAAAGTCCTAAAAACAGATTGTGATAATCGCCTTGGATTTAATCCTTATTGGTACTTAGAACAATTTAAACATGTTGACCTTTTATTTAATACAATTTCTTATAGTGATGAAATATCAGTTAGCAATTTATTTAATACATTTATTGGAAATAACGAGATAACTCAGAAAATTCTATTAGCAGGAATGATAATAACAAAATTTTATCTTATTAGAGCATCACGTGAACTGAATGCGAATGAAAATCTTTTAATACAAAAGATTTCTAAGTATCTACATTCATCACAACTTCCGGAAGATTATAAAGCGTATCTTTTAAACTTTATGACAAATAATCATCAATTATATAAGCTAACTCCAAATACTGAAAATATTGAAGTATTTATTTCATCCGTTGTGGCTCACGTTGTAGCATTGAATATTTCAATTCCTGTTAATTCATCTCCTTTAGCTGCATATATGCAAGCATTATATGATTATAGAGATACTTATATGTTGACATGTCCATCAGATGAGTTGGCCTCAATAACAAATGTCATAATAGCAAAGGATTCAGGAACAAGAAGGTATATTATCTATTATTTATTTAAATTTACGGTCATGAATATGTTTTTAATAATTTAATAATTAATATATTAATTTTTCTAGATATCAGTGCAAATGTGGAAATGTTTATTTTATTGGTGATTGTGGACGTCCAAATCAAATTTCTGAATGTAATCAATGCAAAAACAAGATTGGTGGTTTAAACCATAATCTTAATGAAGGAAGTAGTAGTATAGATAGTAATAAGATAAACCAATCTGTTGTAGTAAATGATAAACAAGGCTATATAGTTGAAGATGGTGTATTTGATACTTATCATACTGTTAGAAATTTGCACCCGGCTTCTTACAGGATCCTCCATCTGTTCTTGCATATAATTATTGGAGTTCAAGCACATTTACCAACTATTGTTACTTTTATTAATAATCAAGATATTGATATAGCTCAATACTGTAAAAAGCACATTGAAAATGATTGGAAAGCATTAAAAAATATTTTTAACTGCGAGGATGAAACTTTGTCATTAGTTATTCATGCAATACTTTCGGATATGCTACAAGAATCTCAACAAAACGTAGAAATATTTACATTGCCAGCTCAAAGAGAAGTTTGGGAAACCCATTTTAATCAAAGATACGTTTTACCAAGAATAAAAAATTTTATAGGAACTGCTAATAATTTTCGAATAGAATTAGATAAGAATGCAGAAAATTCACTTGAAATCAATGAGACTGCGAAGGTTACTGATCAATACAATGAGAATTATTTACCTCTGCTCTGGCGATTAATCAGAAAACCAGATTTAGACAATTTCAGATCTTATTACATGTCTAATACTGAAAATAAAGAATTATTCCCATTATTAAGCATATTTTTGAAACATGAAAAATATTTGAATCTTATTCAACACCTTTTACCAATTGTAAAATTTACACAAATACTATCTTCAAGTCTCTCCCATAAAATTGAAAGGCAAAAGGCACATAAATTAACTTTCTGGCAATTTATTGAAGATGAAAGCAAAAATGATGCCACCGGAAAACTCAAAGAGTTTTTGAATACTGAATTTAATAGCTTTGCAAATTCATGGAATTGTTTGATTCCACATATCAAACGATATCAATGTAAAGATTTGCCACAAGAAATGCCAAAGTTGAATAATAAAGTCTCAATAGTTTATGGATTATATATGTGTGAGCCAACTGATGAGTCTATATATCTAAGTGCAGCAATAGAATATCTGGTTCAATTACAAAATGATTTTCTAAACGATATTATGGAAATTTCTCCTAGAGCATGTCAATCATTAAAATTTATTGAAAAATCTGATACTCAAAA